GTGTAACATCATAAAATTTAGAATATGATTAACTAAATTTAATAAATGGTTAAATTAATTAATCCAAGTCCTAATTAAATTGATTAAGGTAATGGGATGGAGCCTTGTATGAGGCTTTAAAAGGGGACTAGAAGAGCTATCGAACTACTTTGAGCCCAAAAATGGACTTAAGTTAGGGTTTTTAAAATGTGGCATCCTCCATAATAGACAATGTCATTAGCCATAGCGGATGTGCTAAAATTTAAAATATCATATTAGTGTTTCAAATAGCAGAACATAAGGGAGTTTTGGCTTTTGAGAGAGAGGCTGAGAAGAAGCGAGAGTTCTTTGCTAGGGTTTGCTTTCCACACATTTTTTGGGGTGTTTTTAGGCCATCTAAAACACAAATAAGTCTTCCTTCTATAAAGTCTGCTCAAGAGGGAGTCAATTGGGCTAAATAAAAATTTAAAGCAGATAATGCAAGAATTAAATGAAGGTAGGAATGATATCACTAATCAAAGTTGAAAGAAGGGAAGAGAAGCTTTTACAGATTGTTTATCCTCGTTAAGCTCTAACCACTTAGCTTACATCTAGTCCCCAAAATACATTTGAGATTTTTCACTATCTCTACCAATATTAAGCTGAGCTCTTAGCTGCCACAGTAAAATTCAGACTCCTCCTTAAAGTCTATAACTCTCCCTATTATAAAAGTAATATCAACTTCTCTTAAGTTCCTTAAGCTTAAGTTCCTTTATTTCAATTGCATAACATTAACGTAAATAAAGTAAGTTCAATAATAAACTATTACTGTTGTAAACTCTCTATAAGAGTGGATATACAATCAATGAAGTTTAAATGTAATAAATATTATAGCAGAAGGTAGGTGAACAAGTAAATGAATAAGCTTTCATATTAACTCAGCAAGTCCTTTTTTTTGTCTTCATAAATGCTTTTATTTATAGTTGATACTTTGAAAATATCTGTTAGACTCTGTAATCTACTCGTTAGAGACTTCATTCTCTTTCCTTCTGAGTTTTCTGAAGATTAGGCTAATAGAACAATACTTTATGGCGTTATTGCATGTTATCATCAACTTAAGGAAAGTAACAATTATATGCATTAAATGCTCTAACAAAAGATAAATAAAATAAATACCGGTAGAACAAAGACATACAGGTACAAAGATTGAATCAAAGCTTAATCTTACCCTTAGTTGTGTTTAAAAATATTTTAGCGTGATAATAAAGTGAATACGACACTTTGAAGTTGAAAAGATTAGAGTTTATAAGAGATCCAAGGTGCTCTATTTTTAAATGAAAAATAGAGGTAACGTATTCAAAGATATACTAGTAAAAGTGAGGATATACTGATAAAAGTATGACTAAATTAATGTAGACGAAGAAGAGCTTCATACGTGTAGAAAAGAGATATACCAGAATGATTGATCATAGAATACATTAATTGAAGAAGACATCTATCAATAAGACAAAGGACATTCCAATAGGAATAAGACATTTGGAAATATACTAGTAGAATAATCAAGCACAGGATGCACTAGATATTTGGGTAGGATGGAGTTATATCAGTATGAGGCAAAGATATCTGTATGAAAGAGTTGGTACCGGTATGAAAGATAATCTAAAGATTGAATAGGAGATTAATTTTAATTAGTGGTTGTGTTTAAAAGATTTCTAGATTGGTAAGAGAATAAACACAACTCATAGAAGTTGAAAAGATTGCAAGTTAAGTGAGATTTGAGTGGATTCCTATGCTCTGTTAGGAATATGAAGAACAAAGTAAAATTATTTACGTCGCAATCGATATAGGTTGTTTGGTATGGGTATGAAGAGAATATTTGGTAAGAAAAATGTTTAGATTTCATATGGGTGTTGGGGATACATGCCAGAATGACTCTTTTGTAAAAAGGCATTGTTCAAATAGTTTTCATACTAGTATGAATGAGTTCATATCAGTATGAAGAGGTTCCTACTAGTATAAGTATGAACATTGAGAATAATACACGGGTATGAATGATTTCTACCAGTATGAATGTCCATAAAATGTGGGTCAATTTTTAAAGGTAATAACTCTATCAATTTAAATCCAAATTAGACAAATGCCTATGGTTGAAAAGCTCAAGATGTTTAGTTTCTAAAGAAATAATAACTAGGGAAAAATTCAATGCATGTGGAGAGATATGATGAAAATGGTGAGTAGAAGTCAAGAACAAATATCAGCAAGTCTGGAAGTTTCAATAGCCAACTTTGAAAACTCATAACAATTTCATATAAAATCTATTTTGAATGAAATATAATTTTTTTTGAAAGATTTACAAGTCTAATTTCAAATGAAAAAAGTCTCACACTGAACAAATTTGTATATAAAGAGATAAAAAGAAAAAAACAAATAAAGGTCAAAATCAAATATTTCAAAAACTCTTAACTTAAAGCATATCTCCAAGTGTTAAAAGCTACACTTTTCAAAACCCAAGATAGATTCGAGAAAGAATTTGAGGTAAATCAAATACTTATCCCAACAGCAAATTTAGAGACTCTTAAAGCTTTGGGTAAGATGACAAAGATTAAACATATAAGCCAATTACACTTAATTGCCATTAAACACAAGTTAAGATCTCTACAAAAATAAAATCTTTGCTATTTTGCAATTATCAAAAATAGGGTTCAACACCTTCATATTCTCTCCCTCTTATGTGTTTTTCCCCAAGTTTTTGAGGTGTGGAATTTCTATTCAAAGTTATAGTTGAGTTCTACTCATTTTAATAACTTCAATGAAGTCTAATGAGAGTTATTTAAGTTTCTAATCATTTATTTCATTATGGTGTTATTAGAGTCATTAATTGTGAGTTTAAAATTAACCTTAATGTTAACCAATTAAGTTTAAGCTAATGAGATTAGCTAACAGTATTTAGTAAGCCTTATGGTGGTTAAAAGAATTAATGGAAGTGAGTTTTCAGGTTGATTTTGCTTAACTAAGCTTAATGAGAGATTAAAGCATTAATTCTGATTAAGGTTAATTAATGACGATTAATTATTCATGCTATTTGTTAACCATCATTATACACTAATTGTTGTTGGAGCTTGTGTTTGTAAGAAGCTCCCTTAAAAATCCAACTTTTCCTCTTGGGGTGGTACTTGAGGTAGGTACGTAACCAAGAGTTTAATTGAGTATATAATTATGTTTGCAATTTATAAGTGGTATGCTATGGCATGTAAAATGTGACAATGGAAGGAGCATGGTCATTTATATAAATGAGTTATTGTTATAAATAATAACTCTTTGAGCATGTTGAATAAAGTCATAATTGGCATGATCTTGAGTTATGTGATGGTTTAACTATGAATTGTTGAGCATGAGTTTGAATATGTGATGAAATGAATGGTACAAGTCCTTGATACTATTAAGTTTAATTAGATATGATTATCATCATGGCAATAATTGCATATATATGGGACTTGCATGATCATGGATGGGTAGAACTAGAGAAGTACTAGAGGCTTACACTTGATGTATGAAACACCAGTTTATGTTGTTATGCCTATTTAATGTGCATTTTCCAACTAAGGAAATTTTGAATATAATTAAGCATGCAGATTCTAGTTTTTTATATACTCTATATATGTTGGTCGTGATAATCGTGTCTGATATTCATGATCTTAATTTGTTATGTTTAAGAATTTATATGTGTTTTGAAGATGAATTTGCTTATATTCAGTTTTATATACATTGTGTTGGGTGGTTATAACCAATTATGGATTTTATCTATATTTAGTTGATGATAGAAATTGTATATGATGAAGTGGATAATTATGTTGTGGTCGTTGATAGTAATAGGGCATTATATAAAATCCATATGGTATAGCTTCCATTAAGTTTACACACTAGTTGGCATTATTATCGATTATATGTACTTAGTATTGTCATTAACCTATGAGTATGACATGAGTCGGGCATGATATTCAGTATCACAAGTTCCTACAAGAGACAATGTGGGTCAAGCAAATTACGAGATCCTATAGTTTAAAAAGGAGGAATTCATAGTTCAAAAGTGAGTATGAGAGTCTTTGACTAAGTAACCCCTCACAATTGGAGAGTAAAACTAATCTAGGCACAAAGATTAGCCCTTTTTAGTCTGCTATATGGGATCATTTTTTTCAATAATGGCCTCACTAACACTTCAAGGAATATCTTGGATATTTTTATTTAAATGATTGCATATCAAGACTCGAACCTTAGGTTTAAAGATAAGCAAGTTGATTTAACTTCTTCAACCAATCAAACCTAGCATCTCTCACATCAAACCCATGTTTTAACTTTTAACCAACACATAATGTGAGAGTAACCAGCAAAAGCTAGTTCAATTGATGAGCATTTAGCTCATCACTTATAAGGTCATGAGATCAAATATAATCCCATTATTAATGTAAAGATCTTGTTAGTAGGTGATTTGTAAATCCCTATATACATTACCAAAAACACTTGTTTTGCAACGGAATTTTTGTCCCAAATAATGTTTGCGATGGAATTTGCCACGGCTAGTCTTTTGTCACTATTTTGCTAGTTGCAAATTTTTAGTGACAGAATTCTAAAATCCGTCACAAGTTGGGACACAATTTTTGAGACGAAATATCCATCCCAAATTTGGGATAGATTTTGTTGTCCCAAAAAATGTTGTCACCAATTTGCTCCAAAAAACTGTGAAGGAATTTCCGTTCCAAATTTGTCGCAAGTTTTGCGAGACATTTGCCTCTCAAATTTGTCGCAAAATTGTCTCCAATGATATAATTCATTATTCAATTATTGCATATAATATTAATTGTTACTTTTGTAACAATTTTAAACTATAATTTCAATTATTACTCGCAACTTGTAATTACTATTATTGTTGTTGTTGTTGTTGTTTTAATACACAGTAATCAAATCATAGAAAATTATGTCAAAACATATTAAGAACCAAGTATCACATAATAAGAACTCAAAAATATATCACAATCATGCTCAAATGTTAAACCATAATAAAATTATTTTAAAAATATCTAAAACTGTCAAATATTCATAAGTGACATACACCCAAGATATTAATATTCTTTCTTTTTTACAATTTCTAAACTCTTGTCGCTACTCAACTATTATAGATATAAGCTCCTCGGTCATCTTTGTCAAGATATCAACATGCTTTTGTTGCCCCTTCCAAATTTTGGATGAAATCATGTATGATATAAGAGGCACAACCCTCCACATTCCCTATACCACAAATCAAAACCAGACAGAAAAAGTATCATGTTAAAATTTTGAGTTAATTAATAACACTTTCAAACTATGAAATATCAAATCCAATTTAGTTAGTAAATGAACTCAAATGTTTAGAACCTATGCATTACTTAAAGCTTAAATATAAGCTCAAAATAGAGACAGTTTGCCTTGCTGGAACATGACTTATAAATCAATAATCAGGCTTGCATAAGTTGACATGAAAAGAAAAAGATATATGATTTCTTTTGAGTTTGAACAGCCTAAAACTACAACAGAGCAAAGTATATGCAATAAATATTACACTCAAAATTGCACTCAAACAGAAACATGTGAGCAATCCAATCTAAAAAGATAGTTACTTAAGCCAATTTAAATACTTCAAAACCCATTAAATGAAAGGCATTAAAGACCAAAGATCATCCTAGTGGCTAAAAAAATTTGAAGAAGACTTACACGTAATGCAGAATGAGCAATTTCCTTCACAATCTTGTAGTCACATCTAGATACAGAACTTGAAATAAAAGCCTATACATACATAAGTAAATTAAGGCATATTTCATAATTTTGTGAGTAAAAGCTAAGCATAAATAACTAAAAAAATTTGAAGTGCAGCATCAGAACAAAATCGTGAAGTACAGTCCAAGATGCCCCCATCCTAGAGTCCTAAATCAAACAAAATGGTCAATATTTCAAGCATTAATTTCATTATACCAGAATTCTTTTTTCATTTCTCCTTTATTTTTTCTACTTATAACAAGAATAGAACATCATTCATGGATTTGTTTGATATGTTTATATAAATAAAAATAAAAATTTAATTCACAGCAAGAATAGAATGTCATGCAAAAAAATTCTTATCTGCAAAGCTGCCAATTATTACTAGAAAATCATTAGATCTGCCAACCCTGCAAAAGTCAAAGAAATGCCAATTAGAAAAGAAAACGAGGTGACTAAGTCAACAAACAATTGAATCCCACTTAGACCATAAGTTTTAAAACACGGGTATCCAGCACCTGATCGTCAACATATATAATGAATCCATTTCATGCAATTAAATATCCACTAAATCCCAAAAGATATTTCCTTGAACAAAATTTTATAAGCCAAATAGAAGCTGGTTTCCAATGTGAAATTCTTATATTATAAGGACGTTCTTAAGCATTTGCTCATTATTTCTCCAAGATTCAGATAGAATTGAACAGGATTTGAAGGTGCAGTCCAGCAAATTTGATTAAGTTTCGCTTACAAACAAGCAAAAAGCACAAACTTGAGAAATGAAAAAAACTTTCAAGTAAACAGAAATCATGGAAGAAACATCAAATGAAAAATGAACATCTACAAAACTAAGAAACACTACTGAAGAAAAAATAGAGAAAAGTAAGCAACACGCATCCTATGACTTCAAAAGACACTAGAAATAAAGAAACTTCAAAAGATACTTGAAATAAAGACGTGTATACCTAAATCCAAGCAACCAACCAAATAAAGACACATATTCCTTGCCTCGACCTCAGTTTCCTCTGTTCTCGCTTCAAACTCTCCCCTGTTTCTTCCTTCATCTCTTTTTTCCTTCCCCAAGCACGCCTTTCTCCTGTTGCAGTGAAAGAGTAAAGGGGTCTAGGGTTCTTTTTAACTCAAATGTTGAAGCTCAACCACGAGATTGAGAAGAGTGTATGGATGAGAGGTGAAAGACAAGAAATTTATGGAGAGCAAATGTTGGAGATTGAAGCATGAGAGTGAAAGAGGGAAACTTTGCCAAAGAAGGGAGATCGATTAGGCTAGGCATTTGACGAGAGATGGTGGGGCAGTGGCGCGAAAGGTTGATGAAAAGGAAGGGAAAATTTAGGGCTGAGTGATAAATGAGGGATTCTCGTTACTTTTTATTTGAAAACATTTAAAAAAATTATATTAGTGACTAAAGTTCAAATTTTTATATGAATTTTGAAATTTATATGTAATATATTAATGTTTAATTTAATATGTACAATTGTTGGGATAAAATAGACAATATAAATCCATTGTTATTAAAAAAAATTATATCACATAAAATAAGATGTAAAACGTTAATTGAATTGAATTTCCAAAAGAACAATATTTTGCAAATTGAATTGCAAAAGTAATACACATGGGATAGAAATTTTATTTTGATTTGATTTTTTTTGCTATTATCAAGTTTATTTAAAATATGAATTTGAAAAATTTCTATGATATTTTATTTTTTTAGAAAGTTTGGGTTTTAAATTTTCATAAAACTATAATTTTTTTAAATGAAAATGCTTCTAAGATATCAGCTTTTCATTTTCCAAAATTTGAATATATCAGAATTATTATACTGTGATTACTGGTCTATTTGTTATAGTTGAAATAGTTGTATGCTAAATATTAATTAAAATTAAAAAAATTGTTGGTAAAAAAGGTACTAAAATTTTAAAAATATTATAACAAAATACCATAAATTTCCTCTACCTATTGTATTAAAAATTAGAGGGAATACAAAATGTTATTATTAAGACATAAATTATTTTACCATAATTGATATATGAACTAAAAAATAATTAAAAACATAATGAAATAAAAAAGTGATCAAATATTTGGTATCTAATTGGTTGAAGTGTGATCTTAAATAGTTAAGGTCAATAAATCAAATTAGTTAAAATATGATCTTAAATAAAGGATATGATTTTAAACGTTATAAATCTAATTAATAGGAAAATAGTCAGTTATATATTATTAATATTATACTATCTAATTGGAAATTATATATCGAGATTCTTTATCCTGTCTTTCACAACTATAACATGGATCGTCCCATGTTTCTCTTGTGTATGAAACTCACTAATCAATTATTGCTAATATATACTTCTCCTTTATAACTCTTATATATATATATATATATATTCTAGATTAAGGTGTCAATCATTTTTAAATTAATAATTTAAAAGGAAATCACATTTCAATATTTGCTTTAAATTATAACTATTATATGTAATAGAGAAAATTAAACTCCGTCCTTATAGTTATATAATCATGTCATGAAAATATAAAAGTTCTTAATTTTATTTTTTTAAAGAAAAAATTTAAAGATTTTTAACTTTCAAGGGTTAAAATTTTAATTAATCAAACTATAAGGAATTGATTAATTCAACACAAAAATGTATTATTATATGTTTATTTCCAATAATAATTAAAATTAATAAATTTTAGAATATTTGCGATGCCATTGGTTGTTCCAAAGTTTAAGACAAAATTTTAGAGATGCAATATTCTATTCTGAATTCCATCTAATTATGTTCCAAATTCAGTAGCAAATTTTTGAGACACAATATTCTGTCTCAAATTCTGTCACAAATTTTGAGGTGCAAATATTCTATTCCAAGTTCCATCGCAAATTCTGATGCACAAATATTCCATCCTAAATTTTAAGACGCAAATATTCTGTCCCAAATTCCGTTGCAAATATTCTGTCTCAAATTTCATTGCAAATTTTGAGACGCAAATATTCTACCCCAAATTCCATCCTAAATTTTTTAGAAGCAATATTCTGTGCCAAATCTTGTTGCAAAGTTTTGAGACTCAAATATTTTATTCCAAATTCCGTTGCAAACTTTTGAGACAAAAAAATCTGTCCCAAATTCTGTTGCAAATATTTGGGACAGATTTTGGGACAAATTTGTGATGCCTTTGCAACACTGTCTGTCACAAAATTTCCATCACAAATCTCTAATTTTCTAGTAGTAATAAGTGCTTTTTGAATCTGAAAACATGTATTAGCCTTGTGAGCCATTAAGACCCAACTCACTTAAACTTTTATGTATATATATAAAAAAAAAAAAAGTAGCTTTTAAGGAAAGCTTTTTTAATCAAAAATTCAAAACTAATAATGTAATACACCATGGATGTACTTAAAATAAATATATAAATAATATAAACTAGTTCGAGTCAAGTGTGTTACATAAAATTTGAAGATTGAGTTGCATTAAGTGTCTATATTTCAAAGATATCGTGGCTTGTTAATTATTATAGAAACTTTTATTAATAAATAATTATATATAATTATAGATACAAAATCATTAAATATGTAAAAGAACACAAAAGATTATTAACCTAACAAAATTTTTGAACCAGAACATTTTTTTAACATTTGATCCTTTTTACTGTCACTATTCACAGCCCAAAAGAATATATGTTTTAATTATTGGAGTGTTGTTTTCAATAAAACCACGATTTAATATCACAGTTACTGGTTTTTCTTATGGTTTGAAAATAAACTAAGCTTGCACTTGGTGCAATGTCCTAGTATCGAAGTAGTTCCTTTATATGGAGTGATGGAGGAAGGTTTGGGTTCAATCCCACATTAGGCTTAATTACGTCCCTTTTAATTCAAAAAAAAAAAAAATCTGAGCCGTATGCAAGTATATTTTCACCTTGCAGCAAATTTTTGTGCATGTTATATATGTTTTATAGTCTTTAATTTAATTTCAATTAATTATATCATTATAATAATTTCATAAATAACAAACATACTAATTCAGGTTCGCATGATCAGTTATCTTTTAAGTAAATGATTAGAATTTAATTTCTAACTTTTATGTATGAAACATATCTATGTAACTAAAATGAGCCTACCATTTGCGTTCATTGCAGGGAGGGAGAGTGAAGAATGTGCCCCCGTTGTCTCACAAAAAAAGCAATTTTCGTTTGCATGAGGATTTAAAATTAAATTAAATTGAATTTTTTACTTGAATATATAAAAATGTAAAGATTTAAATATGATCCAAATCTAAATTTATATTTTATTATAACTTTTTTATAATTTTAAATTCTTTTTAAATTCTAATTATTTGAAATTTTAGAACTCTAATCATTTTGTTTCTTCACGTTTCATTATCACTTATCAATGCTTATGTTACTCTCACTTCTCCTCTCATCTCTTGTCCCTGTCTCTCAGTTATTAAAAAATACAAATAAGCTCGTAACTCTTGATCTTTCACTTATACTTTGAATCTTTCATTTAAATTAATTTAAAATTTAAACTTAAATCCATCAATCAAAACGTTATCTTTATTTTAAATATATGTATTTAAAATATTATTTATATTATGTGTAAATTTCAGTCCATTAATTTTCACTAGTTTGTAAAATAAGAACTATACAGTAGCTGCTAGCTAGAACAGATCCATACTCCCTCTAGTTATATTTATGAGTTACTTTTAACATATTTTACTAAAATTAAAGAATATTTTAAACCTTATTAACTTTGCCTAAAAATTCAACAAGTTTTTAATTCTCTATTCCTATTAAATATACATAATTTAAATTTAAATTATTCCAATTTGGCCAAAAAAAATATAAAATATTTCCAGCATTTATAAGAACCTGTTTTTCAATAGGGGTAAAAGAATAAAGATCAACAAAAAAATTATAGAAATGTCCTGTAAATATGATCAAGCAAATAATCTCTCTCTGTCCAAAGAGTAGGATTAGAGGAATATATGTTTTATCATCCATGATCACAAACATAAGCTGACAACTATATATTCTATATCAAAAGGTTATAAGATTCATAAAATCTTCAATAAGCCTCCAAATCGTAATCTCATTGATAGGAAGAATTCTGAGCCACCAATTTGAGGGATAGATTGATGTCGTTTGCAATAGCTTCTGCGTCCATGGAAACTCCAAGAAGACCTCTCCTTGAAAGTCCTGCACAGTAAATCCCCTTCTCTCCTTTCCAATGACTCGGAACTTCATTCTTTGGCATCCCTTTCTCGTTCAGAACATACTTGTAATCCTAATTCGAACCAAAACCTCTTGATCTGTTACATACGATAATTCAAATCTATATAAAGTTATATATATAAAGGAGCTGAAAAAAATAACCTTGAGCCAATTATTAGCTACGCTTTTATACCCAGTAGCGAACACGATCACATCAAAATCTTTCTCCAAATTGTTCTTCTCGAAGATCACCTTCTTCTTCTCTATTCTCTTTATTCCAGAAGAAATAACCTGCACAAGCCTGGTGCATGTGAGAGAGAATAATTGAAATGCTGATAAAGAAGAAATTTGAATATTCTGCAGTCACATATTCGACAAGAACACATAATGCAAAACCTTAACCTTAATTTCTCCGTCTCGAATCTTTTGAATGGTCCCAACGTCAATGACAGGAGACCTCCCAGTGACTTGTTTGAGGTAGAACGGTCCTTTGCTGGGTCGATGAATACCGTATTCAGAGAGATCACCGTACTCCAAGTTTGCCACAAATGTTATCACAACGTCCACTATTTGAGCCGGCAAATATCTCATCATAGACATTCCTCGATGCACCAGTTCTCTTGTCAGCACATGTACCTACAAGTCATATACATACATACATGCACATAGTATCAGTTAATTGTTTTTATTCTTTTTGAACTTTGGGTAGTTCAGAGATTAATTAACTCACAGGGTTTCTGATGACAATGGAAGTTCGAGCTTGAGACTCATTCAAATCATAAGCAATCTCCATTCCAGAATTTCCACAGCCAACAACGAGAACCTCTTTGCCCTTATGCTTAGAACCACACTTGTAATTCTTGGAGTGCACTATCTCTCCTTCGAAGCTATCCAATCCACTCACCTCGGGAATGTACTCTTCACTGTTCTCACCAGTCGCCACCACAACATACTTGGCCACGTAAGCTTCACGACACCCTCCTTCTTTAGTATTCGTCGTTTCAATCCTCCACTTCCCCTCAGCTCCATCAAACACGGCGACATCTACCGTACGATTGTAACGAGGGCTTATGTTGAAATGGCTGACGTAGTTGTCGATGTAGTCGAGGAATTCAGATTTGGAGAGAAATGTTGGACTAGATGGTGAGTGAGGCAGTAAGGGTAAAGAACAGAACTCTTTGGCCAGATGAAGGTTGACTCGATCGTAAGTGTGTTTTCTCCAAAGAGAAACATTACAATCATGTTTCTCGAGGATTATGTGAGGGATCGAATACTTTGTAAGACAAGCTGAGGTTGCAAGACCAGAAGGCCCAGCACCTACGATCACAACATCAGTTACTTCCATTGTCGTTTTTGCAAGCGACCTAGTGTCTTTGGTTCTGACATCTTAGTAGTTCGAGGGTTTTAATTTATAGGCGTGTTCTTCTTCTTCTTCAAATCATGCACTTGCTAGTAGTAATGTTCTTTCCATATTTCTTGGTGGCGCGAGGGTGAAGAACATGGTTTGGTGCAGAAAATTCATGCTACGTGTTCAATGAAACTAGAGTTTTTGTAGATTACAAAATATCTGCTATGTATTTCCTCGTAATAAATCTTCCTTTTAGATTTACGTTGAGGATGAGGATAATTTAGTGAACCAACCTGACATTAGCTAGGGTTCAGGCATGTTGAGATGCTTCGAATTTTAAGGACGTGATATGAAATATACGAAGTACCGTACACTTCATCTGTTATCCGTACTTTTGAAAATGATCTACTGAATGAATACATGGCTTTTTTAGTTTACACCCATTTGGTAATCTTTTATTAATTACCACACTCAAGAAATAGTACGTGTACGTACTCTACTTGCGAATTGCAATGCCATCGGATTGCTTCTGTGAAAATTTCTAATTTAAGAGTTTTTGGACCTCGTGAGATTATTCCAAATCTTTATTTACGTTAGCTGCATAATCTTTAATTGATTACATGAATAATAAAGTTTACATGTATAAGTCAACTATACGAACATAATTTCTCAATAAATGCTGGTTAAAGCCAAAGATGTTCAGGAGACATGATCGGATTAGGATAGTCGTATCTCATGTATTGTTCCAAAAAATAAACTTGGCTGAATTTTCATCATATGTCTTGTTTTTCAAGATCAGGACGGGACGAGACCAGAACATTCCAAAAAAATAGGCAAAAGGTGGAAGAAAAATCTAAATGATAATATGTATTAAATTACATAACTTTCTAATCTAAAACTTAGAAAACACGAATATATAAATTCAATAATTTAGTTACAACATCTATAATTTAAAGTGAAAGAACATACTCATCCGGTCTAAAATATAAGCTGTTTTGGAAAACATCTGCATAACAATATTCTACAGGCTGCAAGAATGACAGCAAAATAATAATTGAATTACACAACTTAAGTAAACTAGCTAATGGTGATCTGACTGAATAAATGAGGTATTAAATATAAAAAATAAAATAATAATATACATTCAGGTCAAGATGGGGCGAGATATCTTGATGGTATATCTTGAGTCCTATCTTATCCTAAACATATTTTTGTTTTATCATTTAAAGTTTTGTTTTGTTTTGGACCAGGATAGAGCAATCTCAATATAATTGAGATGAAACCAAGTCAGTCAGGATGTGAATAAACATAAACACCACTAGTTAAAACCATAACGAAGCTTATCATCTAATAAATGGTATTATTCAGGTATTCAATCTATGCTATAATATGGCATTTACAATTTTTTTGGGTATGCATTTATTTGTGTAATCATTATACCCACATACAAAAAAGCACACTACTCTACAAAATGTATAGAGAATAAAATTGTGTGAAATACCATGCATTTATAATACAAATAATGAAGTTACTGTGATTGATTATTATTTTTTATTATTTTTTAAAAAAATTATTGTATTTTATTATTGATACATGAATAATGATGGTATTATACATTAGTAACATTTTAGTAATTATTATAATGATATAGTGCATGTTTTTTTTTTGTTGGTGACCTCGAATGAACTTTTTTTTTTAAGAAACAACACATAAAATTATTACTTGACAATAAGAGGCGGAGCTAGGATTTAAAAATAAAGGGGGCTAATATTAAAAATATATATATAATAAAGTTTTTATAAATTTTAGGGGGCCAAAAGTTTGTAATATCTATATAATATAAAAAAATTAAAAATTGAGGGGGCCACCGCCCCTGCTGGTTCCCCCCTCTGCCACTGTTGGCAATTCATATGCAATTCCTTAAACCTATGTGTAACTAATAAACAAGCCCATAACATAATAATTAGTAAATTTTAGTGATAATTATTGAAAGAAAATATTTTATTTGTGTATCCATCGCTTTTTTTTTTCTCAAGGAAGGGAGATCCAAAAAGGATCAACTATTACATAAATGAGTTTGCCCAATGCCTTAAGTACGCACACTAGGTGAGAGATTTATTGAGTATTGCATACAATTTGAAAAATAATTTATATTTATATTGTTTATAACTTGTAATTAATAAGTTAAATTCATATATACATATAATATATATTACATTTAATAAAAATAAAAAAACTGAGCAATATACGAGCAAAGTTTTAATTAATCAAGGAAAAAGAAGAAGAGAATTATACACAGGTCTCATTCAAGATAATTAATTACTTCTAGGTCTATTGATAATTGAGCTTAAGAGAATATTGACAATATTTTTTTAAACTCAGTTGTCAATGAGCCTGAGAGTAATTAATTATCTTAAGTTAGACCTTAAAGTAATTCTTTCAAAGGAAAAAAAAAAAAAAGATGTGGATGCCAAATAGTTAGCGCGTGTCCTTTGAGTTGCTGTGTATTCTATTCCCTCCATTTGGCTCTTCGGAAAGTGAAAACTCTCCCTCGTATTATATGGAGGTGGCCACTAATGATGCACTATTAAAGAGGCACAGGGGTATATCAAACATTTGTCCAATCTGCGAGATTGAACCTGAAACTATCGAGCACTTGTTTTTCCACTGTCCTTGGGTAAGGCGTATTTGGTTTGGATACGATCTGTCTATGAAAGTCAGCGCTGATAATGTCACGAACTTCAGGAATTGGTGGACTTTTATTTCTTCTACTGCAAGTGGTTTAACTGAGTTTGAATTATCCCATGTCTATTGGATTCGTTGGCTCATTCGGAAAGCTAAAAATGATAAAGTTTTCAATCACCAAGACCCGAGTCCTGCCTTTGTAATTGATTTGGCGAGATCCTCAATCCATGAGCATTGGAGTGCAATCATGTCTCTGTTCAACAGCAGGTTGGTGACCGTGAAGAAAATAACAAAGCACAAAGCACTATTTGTTTCTAGGAAACAGGCGCTCTGAAAATGAAAGTGACAGATTCTTGGTATTACAGAGTCTAAATGATATAACCAAACATTTTTAACCCACAAAAGGAGAATGAGAGATGAGAAAAAAAATAGGAGAATCATAGAGATATCAATAATGAAAATATGATAAGACTAAGATATTTAAAGTGATTAGAGTTTCAAATAACTAAAGTGTGAAAAGAATTTAAAATTATAAAAGAATTGTAATAGGAAATAGTTTTAGATTTGAGTTAAATCCAAATTTATAAATTTTTTTATAAATTTAAATTTAAATCCTCATTGATCCAAAAGCACTATAACATCCCAATTTTTACTCCTAGAATTTAAGTAACATTAGAATTATGTTTATTAAGTCAATTAAGGTTTAGTGTAATTTAGTTTATGTTGTATGAGATATAGAGGCACATAAGATTGTGATTTAATGAAATTGGAAAAAAATATTGATCAACATAAACTAATAATTATATTTTTAAAGCATCACATTATTATTTTATAAAAAAGAACTACAAAAATTAAAGGTAGTAAATATTTATTAATATTGATATGAATTTAATGCGATTATTTCATAGTAATTAAAATTTATCATATAATGGGGAAGGAAAATTTATCCAGGAAGAGTTAAATTTTTAAAGATATAGTACCAAACCATGATTTTAAAAAAAAAGGAGAAAAAAATGAGATCAAGTGAAATTGAATGAAATAATATTTCTTGAGAGATTACAACTATTTCAATATTATAAAAATTTTATTTGAGAAAAATGCCTCAACTTAACTCAATCTTTAAAATTTTTGGAAAATAGAATATATATATATATATATATTAGATGGAATTTTAAAGGAAGAAGAAGAGAAATAAAAAAAGAATGATGAAAGGGTTTAAAAAGGGAAGGAGGGCATATTTGAATAATGGACTAAGGCTCATTATCCTTTTCCCACCATGCATTTCGTTTCAGCACATCAAGGGAGGGGAACAGAGGTGCGTGACTGCGTCGCCGAGAGGAAAATGTTTTGGAGGGAGGTGTTTTGAGCTTTTGGAGCAAATAGGTGCTTCATATTGTGCCAAGCTTCCATGGATGCCCCTTTTAATTGATTCGGTTAATTGATTCAATTAGTGTAGGTAATCAAAAATCTAAATTCTCTCGTATGCTTGTTTTAAGTATTTTTGATATTTTGAAAAGTGTGAAATATATTTGTATATAAAAATGCTCTTTTATATTTTGGAAAAAAAGTTGTAAAGTGGGCATGCGTAAATGTTGTGAAACATTGGTTAAATTGTTTAAATAGTACTATGTTGATATGATGATTTGAGTAATTGAGATTTTGAACAACATGATTAGAATTCTATGTGAATATGTAACTATATTATTGAAAAGGCATGACTCTTGTGGTGATTTTATGTGCGCACGTATGTTTACATATGTCTTTGAATGGAATTGTGAACATGACAACATGATTGATATATGAAATGGGTAAGAGTTCGCTTTAAGTGAAAGGTAATTGTATTATAAGTCTACGTGGGGCGGACAACATTTGAGTAACTTCCAGTGTTGTATAGTTGTGGCACCTACTTCGATGGAAGTTAAGTGTGGTTCAAGCTTAGCCGATGATACTCACTCTTAAAGTAGGTATGTGTCACTGGTAATAGATAACACCTTGCGAGAATTCAATTAATAGAAGAGTATATGGTCTAAGTTTTGAATGATGACCTTTGGCTGAGTTATCTGTTGAACATCAAAGAATTTAGACTTGTTCGGTCACATGGATTAGTCCTATTTAATATGATAATGGGGAGTATCATAATCATTGTGTATGCCTATTTAATATGATAATGTGAATTATATTTGTATATACCCACTTTATATACCTTTAAATGCTTATACTTATATATATTATAAGCTGGAATTTCTTAATTACTAAGGTATTTATTTCACCTTTAAGTTTAACATTTTATAAGTGAAGGCTCAGTTAGTGGC